CCAAAGGTGAGACCACCGTCTTGTTTGGCGAGACGGCAGTCCCGACCTGGCAGGTGCAAATTTCTTTAAAAGGGGGGGACCTTCACCTCGTTTTCACACTCTTCTACAACTTCTCCAACTGCATACTTCTCAAAATACTCTCCTAAAACCCCTCTGAAGCATTTCTAGAGTTCTTAGGAAGCGTTCTAAAGTGCTTCGAGAGAAGAGTGAGCTACATTGTAGAGTGTGAGGTTTGCCAAAAAGCGCAATTTTCAAGAATATTTGATAAAAACCTTGCTTCAAAGGTTCTTTCATATCCCTTATTTTATCGTTTTTTACTATCTCGGTGCATTAGCTATTAAGGGTCATGTAGTCGATAATTTAATTTTTGCAATGAATAAATAAGGGTAAAAGCATAGTTTTAATGTTCTTATTTCTTTATAAAAACAGTCCATCATAGGGAACCCGAAAGGGGCATCGTGGGGAAGCTAATACCTTCCCCACACGTAACTAACTCCCTTACCTAACTCTAGTTGTAATGACCAAAGTTGGTTTTTCTTAAAAGTCATCGCCTTCTTTTCCTTTTCCATTGTTTTTGGTAAAAGTATTGGTGGCGACTGCTCGACCCTTTCTAAAAAGCGTTGAACCATACTTTAAAAAATGTGAGTCAAACAAAATCATCGTGTCGCTCCGACTGCCTTTTTTGATGGCGGCGACAACAGTCCATCATAGGGAACCCGAAAGGGGCGTCGTGGGGAAGCTAATACCTTCCCCACACGTAACTAACTCCCTTACCTAACTCTGGTTGTAATGACCAAAGTTGGTTTTTTTTTAAAACCATCGCCTTCTTTTCCTTTTCCAATGTTTTTGGTAAAAGTATTGGTGGCGACTCCTTGAACCTTTTTGAAAATCTCGCATTTAGGTCCAACCCAGTTATAGGAAAAACTAAAGGCGTTGAACCATTTCTTTAAAAAATGCGAGTCAAACAAAACCATCACGTCACTCCGACCGCCACTTTTGACGGCGACGACAACAGTCCATCATAGGAAACCCGAAAGGGGCGTCGTGGGGAAGTTAATACCTTCCCCACACGTAACTAACTCCCTTACCTAACTCTGGTTGTAATGACCAAAGTTGGTTTTTTTTAAAAACCATCGCCTTCTTTTCATTTTCCAATGTTTTTGGTAAAAATATTGGTGGTGACTCCTCGAACCTTTTCGAAAATATCGCCTTTAGGTCCAGCCCGATAATCGGATAACCTAAAGACGTTGAACCATTTCTTTTAAAAACATGAGTCAAACAAAACCATCACGTCGCTCCGACCGCCTCTTTTGACGGCGGCGACAAGGCCTACTAGCAATGAGGTATATAAGAGATCCAATCAAACCTTTATATTTAGTTTGATCAACAGATTTCCCATTTTCATCTAAATCTAGACAGCAGTTAGTAGACATGGGAGTGGAGGATTCTTTGCAATTATGCATATCAAATTTCTTTAACAACTTATTACAGTGTTTAGATTGATTTAGGAAAATACCATTCTTTAATTGTTTAACCTGGAGACTAAGGAAGAAATTCAGTTCTCCCATCATAGACATCTCAAATTCGTTGTTCTTGTTGTTTTGACGTTCTTTTACCATTTCAATTTTGTTTTTGTTGTTTTGGCTTAATTTCTTCACTTTGATTTATTAGAATGTTGTTTCAAGTTCTTTTACTTTGTTTTAGAATTCAATCATTACAAAAAAAATAGTATTATTTAAGGAAAAAATCCATAGATAATATCATTTTACCTACGAATTTTTCCCATAGGAAATCCGTATGTAATATGGTCGTAGGTAATTTACCTATAGAATTACTGTCCGTAGGTAATACCGTCCGTGGGTAATTACCTATGGACAGAATTCGTGGGTAATTACTTATGAACAGAATCCGTGGGTAATTACCTACGGAAAAAATCTGTGAGTAATTACCTATGGACAAAATCTGTGGGTAATAATTACCTACAGATTTTGTTCGTAGGTAATTACCAACGAATTTTGTCCGTAGGTAATCACGACATTCAAATTTACTTACACACTAGAATTCTTAGGTAAATTCGTAGATAAATCATTAGGTAAATTTAAATAATTTCATCACCACCAATGATTTAACTAAATTTTACCTGTTACATGCATATTACACACAAAGTATTTAGATATCAAATTTAAAAATATTCCATAATATTGATATGCACCAAGTGCATATTCGGATATCAAACACAAATCCTAATATTAGCATGTATTAAATAGACATTCAAATATCTAAAAACATATAAATCCAAAGAAGTACTATAATAAATATAATGAAAATATTGTTTGAGTGTCTTAATAATTTAAGTAATGTCCTTGTTCATTTCGAAGTTTGTTTTGTGGAAGCTGATTATTATTGTTGTTGCTCTTGTGATTGTTGTTGCTCTTTTTGTTGAAATCCTTTTCGGGCATCAGGTGGAAGTAAAGGAAGGACAACACTGACAAGTGTTTGTAATTAGCGGCTCAATCTTTCATTATCCTCCCCTATAACTAAGCACTTGTTCCTTTAATTGCATAATCTCACAAGAATCAGTAGATCCTGAATATGAGAGGGTATCTCCAGGCCCAAAATTATGAGCAAGTTCTCCAACACCATAGATCCGACCTTTTTTGTTGCCAGCTACAGCAAGAACCCAACTTTTAGTCCTTATTCTCTCGTCCTCTATAGGATCTAATGGAGATGACTCGGTTTCAGCAGCACAGGATGCTACCTCAGATCTAACCTGAGAGTATCTTCTCTGAAATTCTTCCTATTAACATACAAATAAAAATTATGTACGATATACAACACATATCCATCATAACATATAAGAGAGTAATAGAGTTATATTAAATAAGTTCATAACTCACATGAGTTTTTCTAGACCTTTCATCAACAAATTCACCATTAACCTTTCGTATATTAGTTTGTTTGAACACCCCATCAATATGTGTAGCACGACTCAACTCCTTTTCCTGCAAAAAAAATTAATTAATAAATATCATGAAGAAATGAAAGAAAAAAACTTTTGTTATAATTGCATATTTACCATACGAATGGCGTGTTTGTGCATACTAATAGAACCACCTGTGTGTAAACTACCACCTGTCTCAGAAGCTCGATTCTTCTGAGCTTGTGCACACTTTGCACGAAATCAGTTGAACTCCACTTGTCCAATAGAGCATTCCACACATCATTAAACATCCAATAGGGCTTCTTTCCTGTCTAACATCTTTGAATATTTCAGATAGCCTATGTGAGGCCTTTGAGTGAAAATTCTTTCTAATCCTACCCTCATCTTTAGGTCTCCAGGTGACCTTTCTCTTTGCAAATGATTTACACAAACAAACAAATAATAATAATTGTGTCAACGAATGTAAGTAATAAAATAATTCATCAACCTAAATATAAGAAAACTTACTTTAAACCGCTAAAAGAATATCTCTTTTTCAACATCGGTCATTGAACCTCATGTTAACCATGGCTTAGAATATTGTTGCTTAATAGTCATTGTTATAGCTTGTGATGCAACCCGATATGGATGGAACCTTCGCCAAATAATTAAATTAAATAATAATCACAATTTCCTAATACTTGCAAATAATGGGAATGATATAATTTTAACTTAATTTTTACCCTAGACCATAAGGTGATATGATAGGAAGATTAGTGTCAAGTGGATGATCCTCCTCAATGTTTGATTGTGCATCGCCTTCCTGAATATGCACTTGTTGGTCTTCCCTAGCTAGTGTATGATGGACTCTAGAAGGCTGAAAGCAATTGTTAAGAAGTGTTCATTAGGTAGGAGAACCTCAAGCAGCATTGTTAAGATTATACTGGTACAAGGTCATACATATAAGACAATCCTACTCGAGTTAGATAAAGACATAGTCAAGTTTCAATCCATCCACACATAACCAAATCTGCACAAAATACAAGGGGGAGCAAAAGGAAGGGACACAAAGTACTTACAAAGCGAAAACCACCACTGCTAAAGCACAAACACCTCCAAGTAAGATATGAAGGCCACTACTACCAGTTTTCTGGACAAGAAACACAGGCTGTATTATCCATATGCTTCAAACCAAGTCAATAGGGAAGATAAAACTGAAAGTCCCAATATGGAGAATGATAGTGAATAGAATAAAGGAAACTAATGGTGACTTGAGCGAAGTAGATAGATAAAACTAGAGAGGAAAGGCCTTCAAAGTAAAAACATTTCCCACCTAAATTACCAAAAGTTAATCCAGTAGCATCATGCAAACTAAGAGAAACTAGTTGTTTAAATAAAGTATTATTATATCACTTAGGGAATAAATGTTCAAAAGCTGAAGTTGACATTCTTCCAGGGTTGATATGCAGCCCAATCTAATCTAAATCATACTTTCTAGTTACAAATATTAAACAAAATCTGAGATTCATTTTACCAGATATTATAAAGACTGCATGTAAATGAATCATGTATGTCTTATAGTAGCAACCATAAAAATCAACATACTTCACAGTATACACCACAAACATAATCTGATCAATGACCACTCAATTTTAATATGATTAACAACTTCTTTCTATTGCCCCAAATTGCATTTTATCTTTCATCAATGATTGCATACATGAATGAGATTCTCAAAGACAATTTTAAAGGATGTTGAGTAAAACTAACCCTTGTGTGGGAGTTTATTGAAACCGATAGGAAAATGAACGATTATCATTTAGGAAAGGTATTACTTCACCTTTCATTCTGTTTGTCTCCTTTCCCTTTTATTTCCTTTTTTATCAACTGCTCCCAAATTTACACCTACAAATTGGATCCCTGGCAAGATGGCACGCGACCGGGGCGATTGAGGATCATGGCAGTGATATGCTAATAAGGCTGAGACTTGATGGCCATAGGTGCTGGAGGACTCGCAGTGGTTGGCATAGTGGTTTAGGGGTTTGTGTTGGTGAGTTCGATTTGGGGTTCTTATAAGGGTATGGAAAAGTGGAGATGCAGGGGAGGAGAAATGTTGGGATGGAGGTGGATGGTTCCAATGATACTTGGTGGCGCGGGGTGGCTAGGGGGCGAGGCGAGCGTAATGGGTTACAGTGAGGGTGGTTCTAGGGTGGCTTCGAGCTCACCTCGGTGGTGGATGGTTAGGGTGGAGGCATAGTGGAGAGCGAGGCGCAGAGGAGGTTAGCGACGCCTAGGGTGGAGCCTACCGGCACGACTAAAGCATGTGATGGCTGGCCACGCGGATTTGGGAAAATAGTGGAGGCGTGGGTGGTGAGAGGGTTGAGCAAGTGCACCCGTGATGGAGATTGCGACTCGGGCGACTGGGGTCTGGACGGCTGAAGGCGTGGTGGGTCACAGTGGAGGCTTGGCCGGTGATTGGGAGTCAGGTGATGGGTAGCCTCTGGAGGGGTGAGGATGGTAAGTGAAATGGGTTCAGGCTAAGGTGTCTGTGCGAATTGGGAGTCTGGTGAGTAGGTAAAAGATACAAGACCTCGAAAGAATTGGGTGCGGACATTTTTGTTTCATTTTTTTTAATTACATATCCGTAGGTAAATGAGTAGTAAAGTAGGAAATAAGCATTACCTACCTCGTATATCATAGCTAATGTATAATCATCTCATCCGTAGATAATAGATAATATACATATAAATAAAATTTCATAAGAAATATTTGTATGTAATATATATTTTACCTATAAATTCTTATTTGTAGATAATATTTTATAAATAATACTCATTTTTTGTAGTGAATATGTCAAAAATCATTTTAGGAGTATTTTCTGTTTGGTTTGTTCATAGCAATTTAGGAGTAATTTTCAATTTAGAAAATAACTTTTACATTTGATTGAATTTTTGTATTTGATTTTGTAGAACTTGTTCTTCATAATCCTTTGTTGTTTTTGCACAATTTAGAAGTTCTAAACATTAGTTAATAAGTTTTTAAGTTTTTTCAAACAATTAGAAGTTTGTTTTCAATTAATCTTTGTATTCAGTCATGAGTAGTTTCAAGTTTTTGTCCATTTCAATTCCTCAATTGTTCCAATTTGTTCTTAATGTATTTTCTGTCCATATTTAATTACAAGCATGATTTGATTCTATTTTGTTAATTCCAAATTGTTTTAGTTGTTTTAGTTTCAAAAAAAATTTACAAACATGTTACATGCACTAGTTTAGTATAGTTTAGAATTCTGGTCTAGTTTTTTATGTTGTTTTGGATTATAAACTTAATTCTTCTTAATTCTTTGTGTTCTAAAGCATTTAGAAACATTTCTAATTCTATTTAGAACTTAGTTTTTTTTTTCATTTTATTAATTGCATATTTTAGGCAATTTAAGTCATAGCATGTTCATATGCATAGTTAGCAAATGTTTTAGTTTAATTGTATTTTTCAATTAAGTTTTCCAGAGTTTTTTATAGTTTTTACATCATTTTAATCATTTTCTAGCTCCAATTTTTTGCTTAATCAATTTGGTTTCTAGCTTTGATAATTGATTAGTTTAGTTTCCATTAGATTTACAACATACAAAATTTTCTAGCTAAATCTGTCACAATCTGTAACTAGTGTTGTTTTTTAATTCTAGCAAATTTTTTTAGTATCTTTTTTTTACCATTTATTTTTTAGTTCCATTTAAAGTTTTGACCAATTTCCATACAAATAAATTTGGCACATTTTAGTTTACTAGTTTAGAATTCCTTTTAGTTGTTTAATTATAATATTTTTTACTTTTATAACTCAAAATCCCCACAAATTTACTTAGTTTTTTTTTCATTCAAATTACACACCATAAAAAGAACAATTTTCAATTTCACTCCTTGGATTAATACTTGATTTAACTCTTACTACATTTTTTAGGGAAACTAAATTTTGAAAACTTATGTGACTAAGGGTTTATCATACTCCCCTCCATTTTTTGCCTAAAGCGCATTCAAACTCCTATCCCCTTACCTTCATTTCAATTCACATTTTCAAGCTTCTCCCCACATCTTCGTGGGCCCACTCTTCAAACTACTCGTCCCCATTTCACCCATCACTTCCACCCTTTCTCATTGATACCGCACACCACCGCTTCCTAGCCATTTCATCTTCATCCAACAGCACCCACCATTGGCTATTCCCCTCACCCGCAAGCCACCTCTCGCCAGCCACCTCTCACCAACCACCACTAACCACCGCGCCTCACTCTCCCTCACTCTATGCCATGACCCATCAGCGCCACTAGTCTCCACCAGTGAAAATTCCAAAACCCAGCATCCCTTCTCAACTCACATTCTCGCTACCCATCATCATTTTCCCAAGCGTCCTCTACAAAACCATTGTGCCGCAAAATCCAAGCCTAGTAACACACCACAAAACTGCCACTATGAACCATCCTTGTTAGCCTCACCCTCAGCTCTCAATCTCTCTTCTTCACCTTAATCCCCTTTTGGCCACATAAGGCACCACGACAACCATTGCAAGCCTAAGAGAAAACCATCGCAACCATCATCTCCACCACCTTATTGTAACCCTATCCCATTTACGCCGCTTCCACAACTGCGAGAACCATCGTCCCACTATCTTCATTCTCTCCACTTGATCAGTGAACACCTTCTCCACCATCACCAACGACTCTCACTCACAACACCACCGATTGAGTTTGGACCACATTGTCGTCACGCTGCCACATCACTCGTCGCAAGTCAATCTGTGAGTTGATGGTTTAGGATTCGATGTAAAGTTGTGGGCTCACATCGTGAATTGGATCCCCTGACTTCTTCCTTGTATTTGATTTATGTCTTTGTTGATTGGGGAATTTTGGATTCATTTTGTTCAAATTAATTATTTAGTGTCTCTATTGGTTTTGGTTGTTCAAGTTGTTGTGTTATTGATTTTGATTGGTGGTTTTGGGTATATCCTGTTAAAATTATTCAACGTTTTCATTAGGTACAAGTGGGGTGGGTTATTTTGGTTGTGTGTAGTATTAAATTGATATGTGCTTTCAAGGGCTGTAATTTCTGACAATTTATTTTTTCTGAATAGTTATGTTACTTCTGGTTTGGGTTTCTGATTTTAATTGCGTTTTGTTTGTTTGTTTTGTTAGGTTCATTGTTCTTGAATCAAATTTTGTTGGTTCTAGTTTTGCTTTGTTTGGTTTGGTCTGATTGTGGAGTAGGGTCGTTGGTTAGTTTCAGAATGTTGCTCTTGTGTATTGATTGCCATTTAATTTTGGTGGGGTTGCTTGGTTTTTATGGGGCTTTTGGGTATGTTCAAGATATTGTTACTTTGTTGTGCTTTTGTCGTGCATTCTAATCAGGCTGATCGTATTCTTTTGGACTTTGTTGATTGTTCTGTTTGATTATAATGGTATTATTTAAACCAGATTGTATGTATTGGACTGTTTTATTTATTTATTTATATTTAAAACCTAAACTGTGTTGTTGGGACCGGGTGGCTGTTAACGGGTTTGTTTTGTAATGGTATAAGACTTTTATCTTGTGTGGGGGTACATTGAATCACTACAATTACTTTCTTTTATTTTAATATGATTCAGTGGTTGTCGGCCACCTTTGTGCTCTGATCTACGGTTGTCGGCCCCACGTCTCGATCTAGATTATTTAGGTTGTCTGCTCTCACGAAACACTTGTGGTTATGGTAACTCGCACTTTAAACCCTAATGTTCACTTTAATATTTTCTTTTCAAAATAAGTTCTTTAGACACGGGCGTGGTTGCACGTGTAACTATGTGTCTTATCCAAAAATAATAAACGAGGTACAGGCATGGTCATATGTGTCATCATGTCCTCGCCTTTTTAAAATTAACTTCTGAAGTGCTAGCACGGCAACACATGTCACCATGTGTCTTAATAAAGTATTTGGGAATAAGCCGTCTTACGCTCGTTCAATGTTTGTTTTGCAAGTCTATTCAGTACAATTGTCCATATAGTCGTTGCAACTCTCTTTTAAAAGAAAACAAAAATAAAATAAAATACAAAAATCTCCCTAAAAAATGTCAAAATTTCCAAAACTTTAATCAACCACACAAACTTTTTCTATAAAGAATTATGTAACCCTAATTTCTCATTTTGAATGAGAATACGTAGGAGCAAGGTCAATCCTTTTCGGGCCCAAAAAAAAAAAAATATTTTGTCCATTCCTTTTTCTTTCACTCTTTTTCTTTCTTTATTTTCTTATTTTAGGGGTAGGGGGAATATTTTTAAAATGACATTCAATTTTGCACATTCAACTAAGGGTAACCGTCTTAGGAGAGACTTTGTAGGGTGCTAATACCTTCCTTACACGTAATTAACTTCCGAACCCAAGTCCAATTTTCATAGACCTTGTCTTATCTTTATGGTTTTCCATAGTTTGCTTGAATAAACTATGGTGGCGACTCCAAAACTTTGATTTTTTTTTTAATCTTAAAATATGGTTCATTGTCCCACTGCAATTTCGGTTGCGATAGATGGCAACTCCACTAATGATATCGTAGAGAGTCAAGCGTATTTAGCTGAATGTGCAAGATGTATGTCATTTTTTAATATTCGTTTTCCCCTTGTCATTTCCCTACATTTGTTTGTCCATGATGATTGTTATTGCTATTAATAATGTTGAACCATTTAACCCTAGGGTAGAATACATTTGTTATATCTGCTTGGGATTTTTCTAGTTGTTTTGCAGGTGAGGGTTTAGGTAATGCATTTTGCTCCCTTCACACATGCGCTTATGCATTCCATATTGAGTGGGGCCCTATACTCGGGTCTGAGTAAACTTAGAAATGGAGGGGTTGTGTAGAAATGGCACACTCGGGATGTATGTCCTAGTTGGCTATTGTGAGAACCCTAGCTAGAGTTGTTCACATCATCAGTACCCCTATTTCCGGTCAACTTCTAACTGTTTTAGGAAGTACTGTGAAGGGATCCATAACTCTAGTAGCCTTTAAACCTAAAGGATAGAAACCACACCTTTTGAGCATGCATAAAGGGACCCTGGGCCTCTACATGTTGATCCTTAGTTAGGGCACAACGGGAGAATTTTTCATTCCTACACCTTCAACTTTTTGTTACGTATCAATAAATCATTAAATATATCACATTTGCCTTACATTTCCCTTTGGGCCTATTTGTTTGCATTCTTGGCATGTCATAATTAGAGGATGGATTGATTAGGAGGTCCAGTCATACTCTTTTTTGCAGGCATTACATGCATCTCATGTGCATATCTTGACTATTTTAGCCTACACAGGTGAAAAGTTATAATGTTATGTGAATATCCTAGTAAAGGATGGAAATTAATATGGGGTCTCAAGATGGAAGAGAATTTGGTCCAAGCACACTAAAAAGGAAGATATGGTTGAAAGTTACGGAAGACAACATGGCTAGCTTGGTGGAGTTAGGCAAGAAATTAAAAATAATACGGAGGGATGCTTTCAGAAGAAAATATGGGAATCTATTGAACCTGATGGAGGTGGAGGTACAAGGGGTCGCACTCACTACTACAAAATATGTTTTCCACGTCGTTATTTAACGTCGGTTATAGTTGAGGCGACGTGAAAAGTTGAATGTTGAACACATTCTACGTCAGTTTTTAGTCAACCGACGTAGAAATTACTTTCCACGTCGGTTCCCAGATGAACCGACGTTGAAAGTTGAATGTTGAACATATTCTACGTCGGTTTTTAGTCAACCAACGTAGAAAGTATTTTCCATGTTGATTCCCAGATGAACCGACGTTGAAAGTTGAATGTTGAATACATTTTACGTCAGTTTTTAGTCAACTGACATAGAAAGTACTTTCCACGTTGGTTCCCAGATGAACCGACGTAGAAAGTACTTTCCACGATGGTTCCCAAATGAACCGACGTCAAAAGTCTTTTTTTTTTCCAAAAATTCACTTAAATTAGAGAATTGTTACTTTTCGAACCCAGTATTATAAAGTTGAAAGTTGATACTCCAACCACTAAACTACTATAATTTTCTAATAATAACTTACAAATAAATTATATTTATATACAAATAAATATATATCCATGTAAATATATATTTATTTTTATATATTTTCTAGAAAGTGTTTTTATTTTTTTTCAGCCAAAAATTCAATTAAGTTAAAGAATTGTCATCGACAAAATTTGAATCCAATATTTTAATATTGAAAGTCGATACTTCAACCACTAAACTACTATAATTTTTTTATAATAACTTACAAATAAATTATATTTATATACAAATAAATATATATACTGTGTAAGTGAATATATCCGTGTAAATATATAAATACAAATATATTTACATATTTTGATATATTTATATAGTTATATATTTACATATTTATATGTTGGATGTGAGGGCACGCTCGAAGGTGAAATTGTGTGTCGGGTGGGTTTTCAAAATTTGATGTCAAATTTATGAGTGGGTCTCTTTATATGAGTTTGTAATTTAATGACAGAATATAATCTTTATAATTTATTTAAAGACAATCCTTTAAAGCATTACCCTACAAAGGATCAAGCTGCACGGAGAAAAGGGAAGTCTCCCCTCCACACCTTGAATCAGATTTTCCCAAATAGAGGAGTTCAAGCGTCAAAAACGACTTTAGTCATTAGGTGTTCTCTTTCTGATTCTTAGGGTTTGTAAATCCAATGACTATTAGAGATTACTCCTCGAGACTAGCCCGACCCTCGAGCATTGTAGGGCACATATTTTCCTATTAATTACAAAGAATGTCATTCTTATTATCTGCTTCTCTTCCTACTATTCATATCTAAACCTCATTAATAACCATGTTTAAACAAACGTTTCAAAAATGCGTCAAAATGCGTCATCGCCAAAATAATCAAATCACTCATCACCACTGATTGACTAGAAACACAAAATAAAGTTTTACCTCATCATAAATAAAGTCGTGTTTCGCCAATGTTGTGCAAAAAGAAAACAAAAATCAAAAGAAGCCCATAAAAGCTAAAGGCCAAAAAGAGAGGGCAAGATACCCGGTAGGAAACCCACAAAGGGGGCTACGCAAAAGTTAGGGTAAACCCGCTAGGAAACCTGAACAACCATAAAGGGTAGCCTAGGCAAAAATTAGGGTTACAAAATAAAGTCCGCTAGGTTTCCAAAGCAAGAAAAAAGAAACCTAGACAAAAGTTAGGACAAAACAAAACACAACATCCTAAGCTGAAAACCCAAAGGGCATACTAGGGAAGTCAATCAGTCATAGAAAGCGTCATAGAATAAGACGACACTCCATAAACAAAACGTTGTTTAAACTAGCCTAAAGATTCTAACCAACCTTGGCTAGCCATGCTTACAAAAACCATTTTTTGTCAAAATAAAACAATTCTAAAACACAAGCCTTTGAATTAAATATGCTCTTCTTTCTCTTCTCTTGACCCTTACCACTACGGCATTCTAGTAAGTAGTAGGGAAATGTGGAGACAGTAATTAATAGGAGGATTAACATCCCCAAGGAAAGGGAGGGGCGCACTGACATGGCAAGTCGCTCTACAATTAACACAATCATTCTTCGATCATGAAAAAATCGAGACGAAAAAATTGGTACAGCCTATCATGTTGACAAAGCACATAACGTCGAAGCTCATCGAAGTAAAAACACATTGGTTAATCCTTTTGAAAAATTAATTGAAATAATATTATAGGATTCATATCACAAACATTTCATACATGCATAGCGTCCTTTCTCTCAAAAAGAAAAGACAAAAGAGAAATGAGAAAAATAAAAATAAAAAATAATGTCTGCTAGGAGATTCTTAGGCAAAAGTTAGGGTAGCCCGCTAGATCAAAAACCCGCAAAGGGCGGTCTAGGCAAAAGTTAGGCCATTCATAAAAAAGGAAAAAAACCCGCTAAAATATCCTAGACAAAAATTAAGGCAGCCCGCTAGACCGAAAACCCCAAAAAGGGTGATCTAGGCAAAAGATAGGGCTAAACCAAAAAATGAATAAAAGAGAGGGGCCCTTCATCATAATCATAAAAAGTCCAACAGGAGAATGCCAGTCACTTTTCCAGATGCATCAATAAAAAAGAATAGATTGCATTTAGGGCATCCACACACAAGTAGTCGCACAAAACGACTTTGTCAATGTCAAAAATGAAAGAAATAAAAATTACTTCAGACAAATAACAAAAAATGAAAAACATTCATGCATATAAGGAGACTAGCTCCATGTTTGTGATTGAAAACAGGATCACTGAGACTGAATCTCCAAATAATGCCCTCAAGAAAACGGAGCAATTTGTCAATCAAGCGACTCAGCAGAATAAGAGCTTCTGAAAATCAAGAGCTCCAGCTACCATCCTTCTACCCAGAAAAGAAGGTACAAGAAAGTAATAAGTCTCCAAACATTGCTCTCCCTCAAGAAAGAAGAGTGAGTTGTCATAAGAAGCTTCCAGAAGCCAAAGCTCGAATCATCACCCAATAAAAGAGGGCACAATCATCAGACATCATAAAAGAAAAGCCGATGGAAAGGCTTAGTCATCCCCAAGAGGACCCGTTCCTACTCCGAAGGCAAAACAAAAACACTCCTCATGGCTCAGCATTACCACTACATGAGTCATCGAGCACACTCACCCAAAGTCTCCTCCACACTCCCCAATGGAGAATAAAGGCTTCAAGAGCCCATCATCATCAACAATTAAAAGAGTCTAATCTCCATACCAACAAGGGCTCAACAAAAAAAGGAAAAGAGAAGAAAATTTTTGCATCCCCAGAGGATGTCCAAAAGAAAAGGCAACAACAGAGAAGGCCGAATAAAAATCCTCAAGTGGATCTCCTAAAAAGTCTACAAAAAAGAATCAGAAATTCCCATCCTCCATTGGAATAAGAGCTTCACAAGTTTAGCTCGCATCAACATCAATCAAGGAGCCAAGACTCCATCCCTAGAAAAGAAAAATCAGATCCCCAAGGAGTCAACTAATTCCCTGGTGGATCACCAAAGAAAGAAAACTTCATCCCTAATGGACCTCCCAAAAAGAAGGAAAAAAGCCAGCGTAATAAAAAGAGACTAAAAAGTAAAAAGGCTTACGCATTATCCCGAAAAAGCCAAATTTCAAATCGCGAATAAAAAGAGATAAATCACGGAAAAATGCGAAATCAAATGAAAATCCTTGCTCCCTAAGTGGGTCACCTCAGAAAAAGAAAAAATCAAAAAGAAGGAATTGGAAATTTCATTCCTTCAACAGAATAAGAGCACCACAAAAGCCAGCTCGCACCCACATCAATTAAGGAGCCAAGATTCCATTCCCCCAAAGGGGCTACCAAAATCTGACCCCCGGGAAGTCAACCAATTTCCCGGTGGATCAATCAAAAAGAAAGATCATCCCCAGTGAGCCTACTGCAAAGGAAAAACTTCATATTCATCCTTAGAATGTCATTTGCCTACACATAGGCAAGACCTGGCAAGCAAGAGCCAGCATCCCCATAGGGGAATATCAGCCTAGTCAGAGGCAAAACAAATGCAGCCAAAAGTCTTCACTTTCGATGAAGCATCTGCCTACTCAGAGGCATTACTAGAAACTCAATGGAGTATCTGCCTGCTCAGAGGCACCATCAAAATCAACAAATTTTCAATGGATATCCGCCTACTCAAGAGGTGTCACCAAGATCAGCAAATCCCTAGAGGATTTTTGCCTACCTAAGAGGTACTCATCAAAAACCCCCCACAACCAGTAAAGTCGGATGACCACTACCAAAGGATCAAAAACAAAGAATCCCCAGCAAACAACAAGCTGGATGGCTATCAGGAAATGCCAAAAAACA